GGGGGTTTCACCATGTTGGCCCAGGCTGGTCTCGAACTCTCAACCTCAGGTGATCCGCCTGCCTCAGCCTCCCAAAGTGCTGGAATTACAGGCACGAGCCACCGTGTCTGGACTCTTAACTATTGTTATCAAAAGACTACTATAAAAAAAGAATGCACTGCCTAGAATGGAACAAACAGTAAGAGATGATTAAGAGATATTTAAATGAGGCCGGGCATAGTGGCTTATGCCTGTAATCCCCTAGCACTTTGGGAGGCTGAGGCAGGCAGATCACTTGAGGTCAGGAGTTGGAGACCAGCCTGGTCAACATGGTGAAACCCTGTCTCTACTAAAAATACAAAAATTAGCCAGGAGTGGTGGTGTCCACCTGTAGTCCCAGCTACTCGGGAAGCCGGGGCAGGACAATTGCTTGAACCCAAGAGACAAGAGGCTGCAGTGAGCCAAGATCACGACAATGCACTCCAGCCTGGGTGACAGCGTGAAACCCTGTCTCAAAAATACATACATACATACTTAAATGAGAAGTAACACAGTTGTTTTCGATGGAAAAGTACTGGAAAAGCAGATTAAAAGCGTAGAATAACCTTACAGTCATTAAACCATCCAGTGAAAGAGCAATGAACAGAGCCATGTCCTAGCATAGGGATGAAACTAGAAAACAAAGAATAGAAATGCAAAACACACACGCATGCACACATACGCGCACACACACACAATCAGGTCTCTAACAAGTTCGGTTTGTAATAAGAGAAATTGTCAGAGAAATATGCCCACAAAAATGTATCCGTAAGTATGTTAAATGTATTATGTTCAGATTTAATAAAAAACTAAGTCCTAATGTTTAAAAGGAAAAAAATTTAATAAAAAAATAAAGGAAATGTTTCAAAACGATCATGGTCCAAATGAAAGATTTCTATGCATTCCCATCTAAAGAGAGGAAAATGTTCTTGGTAAGAGCCACCTAAAAATGTCATCAATATCCGTACACACTAGAAAGAAACATAGCAATAATCCAAGTGGTTCTGCATATGCTTTCATTGTGCCATGCTTTTTTTCTTTCAAATATTTGAAAATGAATACCTATGGCCATAATTTTTTTAATACAAAGTATATTGGAGGAAATGAAAATGATTCTCTTTGTAACCCTAAGTCATAGACATATATGTTTGAACTTATTACTTCCTTTAAAATATTGACTGAAGGCCCTCAGAGAATATGAAAGAAATACCAAGAAATAAAAGAGAAAGCATCATACGTTCAGGTAGTGGACATCAATTTTACATAACACACTGACCTACATTAAAAATAATAGCTTTAAAAAAGAATAATTTTTAAATCATAAAACTATTTTAATGTAATTGTTTCACTTTAATTAAGGAGGAAAAGAATGAACAGTGATGCCAAAGATATCACATCTAGAATAGAAAATATTTGTGTTAATTTTTGGATAGCCTGTGGTAATATCACTATGGCTACCTCATAATCCCAGTAAACTGAAGTTGTATCTTAATACTTCAGAGTCCACGTCAAGATTTTTATTGCAAAATTAAACGATTCTTGATTTTATGTTACCATGACCAAGTTCATTAGCTTAATAAAATGTGTAAGCAATTAACAAAAGCATCACATGAATGTTCCAGAGCAGCATAATCCATTAGATAGCAGAAAAACAAAATGTGGTATATAAGCAAATTGTGACTGTAAACAAATACATACTAATAGATGTGGCATATATATAAACAAAACATGGTACATAAACAAAATGAATGATAAACAAAATGTGGCATATACATACAATGAAGTATTATTCAGCTATAAGAAAGAATAAAGTTCTGACATATGCTATAACATGGGTGAACCTTGAAGGCATTGTGCTAAGTGAAATATGCCAGATGCAAAAGGACAAATATTGTATGATTCCACTTACACAAAATATTTGGAATAGGCAAATTCAGAGACTGAAAGTACATTAGAGGTTACCAACGGCAAAAAGAAAGAGACGAATGTACTATACTAATACAAGGTATTAACAATAGGGGAAACGGTGTGGAGCATATGGGAATCCTCTGTACTATGATTGTAACTTTTCTGTAAATAAAAAACATTGTGAAACAAAACACTTATTTAAAAAAAAAAACAAAAAACAGGATGACATCCACCCTCATAAAAATTTACCCTATAAACAATTAACACATATTTTGAATTTTCTTTTCTTTTTCTTTTTTTTTTTTTGAGACGGAGTCTTGCTCTGCCACCCAGGCTGGAGTGCAGTGCCCAGGCTGGAGTACAGCGGCCGGATTTCAGCTCACTGCAAGCTCCGCCTCCCGGGTTTACGCCATTCTCCTGCCTCAGCCTCCCGAGTAGCTGGGACTACAGGCGCCCGCCACCTCGCCCGGCTAGTTTTTTGTATTTTTTAGTAGAGACGGGGTTTCACCCTGTTAGCCAGGATGGTCTCGATCTCCTGACCTCGTGATCCGCCCGTCTGGGGCCCCCAAAGTGCTGGGATTACAGGCTTCAGCCACCGCGCCCGGCCCATATTTTGAATTTTCTATGTGCTAAAACATACTTACTACAAATTCAGTAAGTCAAACTGAACCAAGTTTATAATATCCTTGTAAAATCCCTGGTGTGCAAGGACAATTTTGGAAAACCTGTTTTGTGCTACAGTGGTAAAATACAGGTTTAATAGTCTGGACTCGTGTGTATTTGAAGAAAATTACTTAAGCAAGTGTAAAATGGTTAACACTGCAGTATAAACTAAAATGTTTTGGAAGAGCAATTTGAGAAGAACTTTAATAAATAAGAACTGTTCTTATTTTTACCAACTTTTTTAAGGATGCCATTATATAGAAATCATAGAACTACTCACAAAAAGACACAAGAATTAAGTTTTCACCACACCATTTTTTGTGAGAGAGACAATCGAAAGTCTTATTAATAAAGAAATGTTAAATTATGTTACATAAATTATGATATCCATGAAATTTCATTTCACACTAACAGTCAAGTATTCTGATACATAGTCCAGAGTCACATGTTAAACACTAAAATTGATGCTATTAAAAACATAAAATTGAATGACTTGTGTATGAAAAGGGGTCCTGTTAAGCCATGCAAAGACCATGGCAAGGCAGACAACTCTCTATGAATATGATAGTTATGACACACCCCATAAAAATTACTTATGACTCAACCAAGAACACAAGCAGTATAAAGCAATGGGCATGCAACAAACTACAGATCATGAAATATTATCAGAACTGTTTCTGATATAGCTCTGCTACTGTTACTATTACATGCACTCTTATTAAAAAGCCCCCTACATTAATTCTAGTAAGTAAATTTTCTGTTACAAAAGTCCATATAGGCATTTATACCATGTGACATCTGGCAGAAATATATATAATAGTAGCAAAGAAAAACAAAAAACCTGGGTAGAATTAACACAAAATAGACTAATAAAAACATTCGAGATGGAGACTAGTGAACTGTTGAAGTAGGGAAGTCAAGAGTCAGGAAAAGTCATTGACTCAAACATTATTAAAATAGAACCAAGAAATTTAGAGTATACGGAATGGCATCACATAAATGAGTCTAAATAAAGATAGGCAGCAAGAGGCACAATAAATAACAACATTATAAATGTACTTCCACAATCAAAATAATTCTACACTATCACAGGAAAAGACAGTCAATGACACCAACCAGTGAGTCCAAAAGTGAAATAGATGAGAATTTAGTATTTGATATATAGAACTTTAAATGAGTGAGCAGGCACAGGGGTACTTGCCTACAGTCTCAGATACTCAGGAGGCTGGGTCGAGAGGATCACTTGAGCCCAGGAGTTCAAATCTAGCCTGGGCAACATGGCAAAACCCTGTCTCTTAAAAAAAAAAAAAGAAAGAAAGAGTGAACAAAATGTAGATTTTTCAATCAATATTGGGACAACAGCTAGCCATTTAAAATAAAATGTGAAATCATTATATGGCTACCAACCTCAAAGTAAAATCCAAATTGATCAATAACTTAAAAATAACTAAATCATGAAAGTACTAAAAAGTACTCATGTGATATTGATTTCCTCAGACCTACTAAAAGCTATATTCAAAGATTTCCTAAAATTGAACCATTTTTGCAATGGTGAGTATGAACACCACTTGCCCAATTGTGTATTGATCATAAATTTGCTCCTGGATTCTTGTTGCCAAATTTTTATTTACATTATTTGCTTATATATCACTATTAAAAATAGATCGACAGATTTTTCAGTTTTTATCAAGCTATAAATATGCCGACTTCATAATAAGACCATTGTCTTTCATATGCAGAAACCATCTCTGGAAGGTTGCTTGTATCTGGTAAGGAGGAAGGAAGATTGAGAACTGGGAATCTAAAAGCAGAAAAGAAGACTTTTAACTAGAACAACTTTAGTACAAATTGAATTTTGTAGTATTTACCATTTGCACATATTACTTTTTTTAAAACAACTTATAATCTCATCTCTACAAAAAATTTAAAAATTAGTGGAGTATTGTGGCCTGCGCCTATAGTCCCAGCTACTCAGTAGGCTGAGGTGGGAGGATCACTTGAGGCCAGGAGGTGGAGGTTGCAGCCAGCCAAGATGGTGCCACTGCACTCCAACCTGGGTGACAAAAGGAAACCCTGTCTCAAAAAAAAAAAAAAAAATTAGCCAGGCATGGTGGCACGCGCTACTCAGGAGGCTGAGGTGGAAGGAGTGGAAGGATTGCTTGAGTCCGGAAGGTCAAGGTTGCAGTGAGCCATGATCTCGCCACTGCACTCCAACATGGGCAACACAGT